GGAGGTTGGCCGCTAATATGTTAAGTGGGCTTTGATATGCTGTAATGATGGTATCAAAGTTATAACAAAATAAAAACTAAGGTGTTTTCTTTTACTGTAAAATATGTTTATATTTCATTTTATATGCAACTACTGACTGAACTACTGACTGATACCATTAAATGACATCCAGGCGTTCATTTTCTTTTCTTTTTTTGAAATGTGTAGTTTTGATTCCTGGATAAAGTAAGTCATCTTCTAAAAAAATTTAATAGTTTTGTTTCCACTAAAATCCCAACGCGCCACTCTGCACATGCAAATTATTTAATTATATTTTTTCAGTTAAAAAAATCAAATATCTAAGCTGATGAATTTTTTTCTATAAAAAACAAATTAACGATCGTATCAATCTGATATTAAGTAGTTACTGTAGTAAATGGACACCTGCAGCCAACTTCTAACAAAACAAAGAACGCTACAGAATTCGTAATCACCTCTGAGGACTAAAATGGAATGCCTTCGAATTTCGGACCAGAACATAGTAGTAGGCATTGCGATTTGACAGCAGAAATAGGTAAGAAGCTGGTTCCTGCCCCGACGGACTCCCAGACATAATAGTTATCAAACGTGCTAGAGCCACGCTGCAGCTATATTAATAGTATAGTAGTAGCACGTATGGGTCGGCTCGACCGGTCAAAGACCACGCTCTCACAGAATACACGCGTAAAATAGCAGCTTAGTGCTGCTGTGTTTCGTATGGTGAGTGTAGACGGAGATCTTTTTTACTGGAAAAGAGGCATTCTATCTTAGTCCTCATGGCTGACAACGTATCTGCATTTCGATTCGTAATCAAAGTCGACCACCTAGTAGGAAACATTCAATAAGCGCTTCTGTTTTACCTTTTGGAGCGAATTGAATCTTTAATGATATTTTTAAATTAAATAGTTAATAGTTTAAACGTAAAGTGTAACCGTTCAGGTAATGGAGCAGTGTATGAAAGAAGGCCGAATTCGTAACCTGGGTTTATCAAATTTCAATGAAGCACAAATAACTAAGATATTTAAGCATGCTACAATTAAGCCTCAAGTTTTGCAAGTAGAACTTCACGCGCATTTCCAACAAGTTGAACTGCGCAGGTTTTGTGCTGAAAATAATATAGTGGTGACGGCATATGCGCCTTTAGGAAGTCCAGGTGCAAAGGACCATTTTGTCAACAAGTATAACTACAAGTAAGTTCGCAAGAAATTTTGAGTTATAATTTAGTAAGAAAGCTAATAATGTCAACAGAAAACGTGCGTTTACAAAATTTTTCGCTTAATGTTTTCCTATATTTACTCGAAGACTTCACATTAAATGAAACTAATTTTTACAGATTTTATCGCGTTTAATTTAACTTTTTTATACCCAACGTTTCGGGTGCTTTACAGTACCCATGGTTACGGGGGGGGGGGGGGACTGAGACGTTTGACGTCCCGATGTCTTGCAGTGGTATACTTGGGTTTGGTCCACTCCAAACTCAAGCATACCACTGCAAGACCTCGATACTGTAAGCTCATTCTGCGTGAGTCGGACCAAAAATTAATATTCAAAAACTGAAGGTAGCCAGGATAACTGACATCGGGATGTCAAACACCTCAGTAGACCATGGATAAAATCCATAAAAATTAGTTTCATTTAATTCTATAATTTAAAAAATAAAAAAGTTTATTTTCCAATATTTATATGTAATAACAAAATATTTACATATAATATAAATAGCGAAATAAAGATATGGTATTAATTATTACCTCCCTATCAATTACGGTCGACGTCAGCAGCAGGCAGCAACAGACAGCTGGTTAGTTCTTATCTCACTAGTACCTGCTTGGCGCCGGTGTAGTTTCGTGTAGGAGTACTGTACTAATCCGGCATTGAATGCTAAACATGACTACCAGCAATAGAATATTGTTTCTTTTTTTTTTAATTAAGCAGGGACAGAATAATAGCGCAACTTGAGAGAGGTAAACGCCCACCTGTGGACTGTTAGGTTCCTTTCTTTTAATAAAAATGTTACCTCTATAACAAGGAATTTCTCCAGTGTCGTAGAGGCGTAAACAAACTGCACATTACGTACGTAAACTGCAAGTGAATAAAATTTCAAACAAGTTAAATATTGCAAAATACACATATCCACGGAGCGAAGTAACACGCACTAAATCTAACCATCTGGACCCTACCGGTCGCGTGAACTTCGGCCGCAATAACCGAGATACGCGGATTGCCCGCATCACGGCCAGTGAGCTACTCATCTCGTCCCCACGCGTCGAGCCACTGCAAGCCGCACACGGCCGCCCCACCTGGCGGCGTCTACCTCACCTACATACCATCGGGTGACGAGCCAGCTCGAACGCGATTGGACGGCGTTCAAAATGACCAATTTTGGGCATAAACAGCTATCTACCAGTGAAAGTCCCGTCCAAATCGGTCCAGCCGTTTCGGAGATTAGAAAGAACAAACAGATTAACAAAAAATTGTTTTTTTATAAGTACCATATTTACTTTCATATGCCATTAGTAAAAAGCTGTTATTTTGACATTACAAACAGACACTTCAATTTTATTTATCGGTATAGACTAGCGACCCGCTCTGGCTTCGCCTGGGTGGGGTCTATTAATGTGGCGTCATTTAGACCTAAGATAATCATAAAAGAACATTTATTTTATCTTATCAATATTTACATTTATTTTATATAATAAAATCTAAATTTTTCGCATAAAATTAAGTCCAGATCACTACTGGTATCACTCTATTTCGTGAAGTTTCAATTGGATTAGACTTTAGACATTCTGAATATTAGTTCGGACCGACAGACAGACAAACAAAAATTTTAAAAATGGCTACTCACGTCTCAACGAGATGTAGATATTTCATACAAAATATTAACAAACAAAATCAACAATAATTATGAAGAAAACTCTCAGAACGCGTCGTTAGCTTACAAATTTACCAAAACCGGACTGAATTTTTTTGTGGTTTATGGCATTTTGTTATCATTAATTCCAATGATAAGTTCGACCGAAGTTATAGAACGTACGAAAAACACATATCACAACGTACCTATTTTTTTTTGCATACTTTACCGGTGAATGTGAGTATTTTTCAATCCCATTCTTTGACCGCACGGCTAGTAGAGAAAATATTTTATAATATTTTTTAACCTCACTATCGGATTGACGGCGTTGTTTTTGTGTTTATTCTTCTTCGTATAGTACAAGGATGAACTTGAACTTTGACGAAGTAATATATGAACCGTTTTCCCATTTATTATAACTTATACATTGATTATGTTCATCTAACTCATATGCTTTTTCAGCCCTGACACATTTCCGGATCTGTTAAGCCATCCAGATGTGAAAGAAATTGCTGAGAAGCACGGTAAAACTCCAGCACAAGTTCTTTTAAACTTTTTGGTTAATCAAAAGATTGTAGTTATACCAAAGAGCACTAGTGAAACAAGATTAAAGGTTTGTATTTTTAACAAAATATATGTAATTGATAGAATCAGGCGTTACTTTGCGGAAATCCATTATAATGTAGTTGTTATAAATTAATTTGCTTAATTCCGCGTAAAGAAAGAAAATGATGTGTCCTGCCCAGTTTTAAGGGGACCTCCCACCCTCCCTCAATCGCGCGCGCACTATACCCGTCGCCGTCAATCCCAGCACTACCATCCCCAGCACCAGCACACTAGGCACGACACACTATTCTCGAAAATACGGCACGTGTTTCGCCTCTACACGAGGCATCCGCTGAACAACCCCACCCCCCAAAATATATGTAGTGAATATAATAGACGGGCATAGTCTTGAAACTAATTGATGATATATACAACTCAATAATAATAATAAACTACTTATAATTATTTTTAGTCAAAAACAAATAAAATAATTAACAATTAAATATTTGTGGATAGACTAATTTCATCGTCAAAAAAAATCATCCAAAATTCAAATAAATGCACCTTAAAGTATTTGAAAAAAATCTGCCTTTCTTATCTGTCAAATTCAATTTTCCCGCTGAGATATTGATTATTAAAAATTTTCGATTATCGGTTGTCGACTAAATTCCGAAGATTTCAACTCAAATTCCGTAGTTCCGTAGACGATGAAAACCTTTGTAGATCTACGGAAAAATCCGTAGAGTTGGCAAGGCTGGCGTTGGCCATATTAGATGATCCTCCCTAAAATGAGCGAGGTCCATGGTTAGGGGTTGACTTTTAAGGGCTGATGATAATGCGATGACGGGTTATAATATATACCATAACTCATTTTGTTTTAGGAAAATTCAGATATATATGATTTCGAGTTGACACCAGCAGAGCTGAATCGCTTGAAAAAGTTAGATAAGGGTGAAGACGGGCGTGTTTTCAATTTTCTGTTTTGGAAGGGCGTGCAGAATCACCCAGAATATCCTTTTAAAATTCCTGGCTCAGTCGAAAAAGCTTCTGAGTAACTACTATCTGCCAGAAATATTTATAAATTTCTAGTCACCTTGACCAGTCACTATGAACTGTTTGTTATATTGTGTTCTTAATAGTTAAAAACGCTTAAAACACATTTTTACATCATGTGTATATCTCAGTATGTATGTACCTAATTATACCACTGCTATATGTAGCACTAGTGCAGTCCAGCTACAAGCGAGACCCTGATGTAAAATAAAATGGTTAATGGAGACTCAGTTGATAGTGATTGTCTTTTTTGCATGTTTATTATATATGTGACTTATGTTTGATGCAATTGACCATCGTAGGTAGCTTTAATAAATTTATGTCAGTACAACTGACGGATAAATATCTTTACTATGCTTTGAGCATTATTGAATATATTATATTATGTAATATTTAGTATTTAACATGAAAGAAAAGACTAGATTAGTCTGTAATTATCCATAATGTATTGAAGAAAAATCTAATAAAAGCTAAAATAAAATTTACTGTTGTTTATTTTTCACTTTAATTTAATAAATGTTATCAACATGGTTTAGGAAAGTCGGTAAAGCATTTTCCTCTGAAGTCTGTGTTGGAGTTCGCCGCGTCTAATCATTGTGTGTATCACTTTGAGTATAGCCCTCTCGGGATATTTTTGCCGAATAAAGTCTTGGATGATAGTCTGTTCGGAAACTTGTGAACCGACGGCGAATCTCCGCTTTAGTTGCTTCTCTATGCGTGAAAGCATTTCATGGTCTTCCTCAGTAGTGAAGCCCTCGGCACCTGAAGAAATTGCCAACATTTAAGAGAAAATCCGGGATACAAGAAATATTGAAGGATAGGTTTTACTACTATTGCTGTCATGTGACATTTACTGCTGTCGGACTGTGACCCAAACCTCCTCATATAAGTATATTAACTATAAATTGCTAGAGAGAAAAACGTGCAGCTTGCTCGACAACGCCAATGAAAAATTGACAAATCATCGCCTCGGCGGTCATATCTTTTTCAAGAACTACATGAGAAAAATTGTAGCTATGTTTGCACGTATTTCTTTATCTCTCTATTTAATTTTTTATGTTCGTTAAATTTATTCGCTGGATGTGTCTGATAAAAAAAATTTTAGAAAGTTCTTAACTTTTAAAATTATATGTTTAATGACAAAACAAAACATAGGAACATAGCAGTGATAGATATGGACTGTATCATAAATACTATCTGCTCTAGTGTCATTATCAGGGAGAAAACAAAGGAATATGTTTATATCGACTCTTGATGACAATCACTTTGTTACGTAGTTAATATGTCTAAGCGGCCAATATAGCTAGAATAAAGTGTAAAGGAAGAAATAAAAATTATAAAATTACCTGCTAGACTTCCAGTCATAGCAGCGTCTAATGTGGACACTTGAAATAAACGTAAAGCTTCTGTTACATGAGCTTCCGTTGCAAATGGCTGGAGCTGCATCTTGGCCAGAGACTCTGATATCCGCACTATAGCTTCAAGTTGTCTGTAAAGTTAATATATTATAGCATTATACATAATGACAAGATTAACATTATACATAATCAAAAACTGATGATAATCTGACAACAACGGAGAGAGATCACCGAAGCTACACGCGCACTGAAAAACAAGCTGTATTGAAGTTCGTTTTTATACTAGAGGCTGTATAAGCGCGTATACAGTTCAAAAGTTGCACAAATTGTACAGCTTTATGCGTTATTAGCGCTGTACAAGGAAACTATTTCACTACAGATATTGCGTTATAAGTAGCTTTTAAAGATAAGCGTTCTATATTGAGTTTTGAACGGAATTACAAATGAATTTAAAACAAAAAGAACTTTATTTTCGATGACTAGATTGAATTTATATACTTTATTAAATGATGGCGACTTTTTATGTCAGTACATATGAGTTTTGACGGTGATAATTGATGAATTGAGTTTGCAAAATTAGATTTACGGTAAACTTGTATAATATGTTTTCTTTCTAAAATTGCCGCGCTAGCAAAATAGTAAAATAATATAAGGACATAACACTAAATATGGTAACTAAATATTGGTTGTATAGGTTAGAATAAAAAAATATATTTTAAATTAATCAATATGAAGACACATTGGTGCACAGTGATCATTAGTTATTTTTTTTTATATAACTGGCTCTGGGTTCTAGCATTTCTGAGCCTGAAGTTACAATGTATAATTATCCTTCATAGTGTACTGCTTCACAATATCTTGATGCGTCACATTGTGTAGCCCTTAGGAGATTTTGACGGCAACTTGAGCTAGCAGACAGCTGATAGTTGGCGATGGTATCTCAAAGCGCCTAAGCAACCAGACATCTTATCTTGAGAATCACATCACCATCAGAGCACTTGTTTCACCGTTTCCACTAATAGTTCACAGACACTTAATACACAAAATCGCTCCACTTTTACATATCAAAAGCCACTTTAAACCATTATTTAAACGATAATACAGGAGCAGCAAACCGCCGCCGGTCAAGTTTCCGCCAAAACTCTGATCATTAATCAAACTGAAAATAATGGTACAGGCTAAAACTAATGTCTAATATTCCTAAAATTATATTTTAAATTTTATGTGTCCTAAAATGACGACAATTGTCAAACAGCCTAAACGGTGTTTCGAGGATCTTACAATCTTAGTAGTTATTAGTACAATATAATATATTTTTATTACTTAGCTATACCAAAATATTTTACAATGTTAGAATTCATAACATACATGTTATGGATTCTAACATACATGGTATGGATTCTATCATGCAGCCATTGGTTTTATGATAGCTCTATATTTTTATTACGTACGCTGTATAGCAGTTTTTTCAACATAACATATACTTCTCTTTAGAGATATGTATAAAAGATGAAAAAATACTTCAAGTTGTATACTAGAGTTTTCATATTCTAATTAAGAACCCTAAGCTTACCTAGGATCCCATAATACAGACTTTATACAGCTTGAGCTGTATAATAACTCATAAACCATTCTTATATAAATAAAACCTCTTTTCAACACTCTTATACGTTTCTAAAAGAACTTTAAGTTCTATGTGGGCTGTTATATTGATGTTCATAACGCTTGTGTGTACGCTTGGGCAGGCGCAGGATCAACGGTTTTACGGGCTTTCCGAGGAACAGGTGTGAAACATCTACAAAATTTACCGTTCGTTCATAGTATAGCGGGGGTAGTAAGCTTTTTAGTAGGAAGCAGGCGTAGGCGCTCGGCGATTAGGCGCGGCAGTGGCACTCACCTGACAGTGATGGGTATAGAGAGGCGCTTGTCGGCGGCGCGCTCGTGGCGGTCGGCGCCGGTGCGCATGAGCACGTAGCGCGCGCGCAGGCGCTCGGCGGCGGCGGCGGCCAGGCGCGGCCCGCAGCGCGCGCGGCAGTACGCGCCGTAGCGCCGCAGCAGCGCCAGCGGCAGCTCGCCCGCCCCCGCAGCGCGCTCTGCGCTGTTGCCGCCCATGTGCACACTTATTATGTGTTTCGCGAGCGTCTGCACACACGTTCACACAACTTTAGTTCGTTTTTTATTATTAAAATTCTGGCTTGGATGCTTGTCCTTTAAGCCATGTCTTCATTTCATTCGGGATCTTCGTTTTTTTATATATTTTCAGTATCAAGTGATAATAATCCTTTATAGTAAGTTTTTGGAAGATTTTGACGGGAACTTGATCCAGCAGACAGTGGTTTCACCATTTCTACTAAAAGTTACATGCGGAAACATTTAATACACAAAATCGAACCACTTTTATATATCAAAATCGACTTCAAAACCATTATTTAAACAATAATACACGAGCAGCAATCCACCGCCAGTCAAGTTCTCGCCAAAACTCCACACTTTCAATTCTTTACTTACCTATTTCTTTAATTTATTTACACAATAACTCGTCACTTTGTCGCTATCGCTAGACTACACATATAAGAATTATTTTATACTTAGTATGAAGTTTCTACTTATCAAGTGTCAATGTTAGGTCAGATTACCCCTATAAGTACCATTACCGTTATCGTTACAGCCTATTAAATTCCACTGCGGAACATATGCTTGCCATAGATTGCCTCATAAAGGATATTTGCCATAGTAGCCAAACTTGACAAATTGGTTGGCAATCGCAGTTTTTTTTTATTTTTAGTCATTATTAGAAAGACGATGCTGCCCATCTGCTTATTTATTTCACTCTGTCGCCTCTTACCACACTCACGCGATGATATGGGACAGTAAATATTCTTCCACCGCCACTACCCCTGTAGCGGCGGTGTAAGAAGTAGTCTTTTTCAAGTTAAAACTTCCTTAGCATTGTTGTGATTTGAAACTCAATGAAACAAAAAAGCGACACTAAAAAGAGACAAATATATAAATCTATAGGATAGAATGAGATATATATAACATAATATAAAATATAACTAATATTTCATAAATAAACATCTGTCAAATATTTCACCTTATTACTAAGTGGCGTTGCCCAGGTTGTAGTAAGTTGTAAATGCCTTCATTGTTAATAGTTTATAAAAAAATAAGATAGCGTAAAATAATTAATTGAAAAAAGAAAAATTTTATACTTTTTACATTCACAACTAAGATGGATCTAATGACATCACATATGTTAAAATTCATCAAATCATTTAAGCTCCATATACTCAAAAAACATTAATCTCCATCTATTAAGAGTTACGGCTTATATACATCCCACTGCTTGGCACAAGCCTCTTCTCGTTTCTGAAAGGGTTTTAGAGCAAGGAAAAGTCTGCCGCGCTGCTCCAATGCGTGTTGGACATCTCCACCCTACTCTAGGATATTCTCCAGTATCGTGAGGGCGTTTTCATACATATATTGTAAAAAGACAAACATTAAAATCCAGAACAATTATTTGAAAACTATATACACTTACACTTGTTACATGCGAAAATGCTATTCGAACCCGCGGCTTTGAAGACGAACTGTTAAGTAAAGAACTATAATCTAGTGATTTAATTCAAGTAACAACTTACAATATCTCTGTTTTGGTCATGTTCATCCTTTACAATGAAAATCATATCAAATCTTGAAAGAATGGTGGGCATGAAGTCAATATTATCGTCAGCTTTAGTGTCGTCCCATCGGCCGAAAACTGAGTTCGCCGCAGCCAAAACAGAACAACGTGAGTTCAAAGTTGTTGTTATTCCGGCCTGAAATGATAGATTTAAAATATATATTTCTAGAAAAAATCGTATTAATTTAACAATTATCTGTACTAATATGAAATTGTTTTATTTAACTACATATCCTCCTTCTTACAAGGTTTTATCAGTAGCTGTTGACTGCACTTTATTGTATCAAGTTGTTGTTGTGGTTATTACTGCTTGATACATCACACAAATTGACACAGGCTTTCTCTCATTTTTTAGATTATAGTGGGTATTGGCGGATTTCAAAATATTTTTCCTTCAATGCCGAGATCGTGGTAAACCAGCACTAGCACAGCATGCGGCGGCGGGCAGAAAGAGTTTATACCCGAGTATGCTCGCGTATCTTGAAATTTACGAGACAAAACTAAAAGTGCTGCACTGCCTATTAATAATATTGGCTTAGCCTTAAGGTCTGTTTCCATCTTCAAACCTATTCAGTTGTCTACGGGCCTAAATTAAAGTTCAATTCATTTATATTGTTGCGCGCCACTATTATTGTCTTGTACATGGCAACACTAGTTACCACCAGCGCCCTCTAGTGTCGAGTAGCAGAACTAGGAGAGTCAAGATCCTTCTAGAAATTACGGGACCGATATGTACTCGAACATTCTAGATGTCGCTACCGTAGAAGGTTCTGGTAACTATCTGAGGCCCTATATAAAGCCGGTATAGACCACGACCGAGGCAGTATTGAATTGGCGATATAAGCGAATACTTCGCAGTGATATAACTGCAACTAAAGTGATCAGTAGTGCAATTGTGTTTATTATTAGTGTGGTTTTAAATTGTAATTAGTGTTGTGTTATCGTCAGGTCAACTTGAAAACGAGACTGTACAACCAGTGCGTGTTGCCAGTGATGACATACGGAACTGAGACGTGGTCCTTCATTGCTGGCCGGAAGAGGAAGCTCAAGGTCTCTCAGCGAGCTATGGAGAGGGCTATGCTCGGAGTTTCTCTGCGTGATAAACTCAGAAATGAGGATATCCGCAGTAGAACCAGAGTGACCGATATAGCCCAATGGATTAGTAAGCTGAAGTGGCAATGGGCCGGCCATATAGCTCGAAGAACCGACAACCGATGGGGAAGAAAGGTTCTCGAGTGGCAGCCTCGTACCGGCAGGCGAAGTGTTGGGCGTCCCCCCACTAGATGGAGTAACGACCTGGTAAGATATGCAGGAAGTCGATGGATGCAGGTGGCTCAGGACCGTGCTTTGTGACATTCCTTGGGGGAGGCCTATGTTTAGCAGTGGACTTGTGAAGGGCTGTAATGATGATGAATGATGTTGTGTAATTAGTGTCAATTTTGGTAATTCAATCGGCAGTTTTTAATTGTCTCGAACCCCAAGCTCGTAACAATATTATAATTAAATATAGTGTTTTAATATATTTGTTTTTTAAAAACCGTTTAGCCCGTCTCTGTAGAACAGTTCGTTAAAATCGCATACAACACATCAGCAGCCTTAGTAATCCAGAAAAAGTAAATATTGTTGCGCGCCACTATTAATGTCTTGTACATGGCAACACTAGTTACACTAGCGCCCCCTAGTGTCGAGTAGCAGAACTAGGAGAGTCAAGATCCTTCCAGAAATTTCGGGACCGATATGTACTCGAGCATTCTAGATGTCGCTACAGTGGAAGGTTCTGGAAACTATCTGAGGCTCTATATAAGGCCGGTATAGACCACGACCAAGTCAGTATTGAATTGGCGATATAAGCGAATACTTCGAAGTGATATAACTGCGTACAAAAGTATCAATTTGGTAATTCAATCGGCAATTTTTAAATTGTCACGAATTCCAAGTTCGTAACAATGTTATATATGCAGATATAATAAATATTTATAGGCGTGGTAGCTCAGACCCTAAGCACTCGCTGTAAATTTCACAGTATGCGAGCAACCCGGGTTCGATCGCCGCCGGCACCAATGAAATTGTTGATTGCAATTTTAAGTGCAGATTTACCACGTGCTCAGCGGTGAAGGAAAACGTCGTGAGGAAATCTGTATGTCTGAGAAAAAAACTATTTCGAAAACATGTGAAGTTCGCCAACATCCACTCAGCATCAGCTCTCAGAAATGAGGACTGTGGCCAGCAGTGGGACGTATATAGGCTGTAACTTTAATAAATATTTGCTGATCGCCGTCATCAGTCAGTCTTTTTGTATGGATTTTTTAAACATCAGTCGGTAGCTAAATCCTCGTCAATTAATCAGCATAGTATCTACGTGCTAGTGATGTTGACATTTAATGAAAAATCAGTCCAGTTCCTCCTTTTAACCCATAATATTATTAATATGTAATATGTTAAACACTAAGCGCATTATAAAAAAAAAACTTAGGGATATACCTATTTAGATAAACTTAGCAAGTAAAATTTCATACAAATTGTTAGAGCCGTTTCTGAGAAACCAATTACATATATTTTTTTTTTATAGGATAAGGGTGACAAACGAGCACACAGTCCACCTGATGGTAAGTGGTCGCTGTGGCCCATAGACATCTACATCTATCTTCGATTAAGAGTCAAAATGCAGATGCGTTGTCACCCTTGAGGACTAAGATGGAATGCCTCGTTTCCAGTAAAAAGGGTCTCCGGTTCTCTACACTCACCATACGAAACACAGCAGCGTTAAGCTGCTATTTTACGCTGGTATTCTGTGAGAGCGTGGTCCTTCCCCGGTCGAGCCGACCCATTCGTGCTACAACCATAATATAGATGCAGCATGGCTCTACCACATATAAAATATATCTTCATATTATAAATAACTATTGTTTCGTCGCCAACATGCATTAAGCCCTATCAGAGATGAAAGGAGGCCTGTGCCCAGCAGTGGAACGTAGACGTATAATAAATATAGTTAGTGATCCAATAACTTCAGTCGGTCAAGTCGTTCAGTATTCAAACAATGCATTTGTTTTTTTTTCGAGACGATGGTGTTTTAGCTATATGCAAGGATCGATAGGTGGCATTCGCTGTAGTCAAGTTATTAAAAAAAATTATATTTATGATTGACTCATAAAAAATCACAATCACTGGATCTGATAGGGAAGTGCTGTGGTAGAGTTATTCATAAATTTTATATTTATACTAAAAATTTCGAAGTTAACATATGGTACCAGCTATTGGAATGGGTGGAACAGTCTGTATGGGCAGTAGCCTGCCACCAGCCACAGCACTTATTGTGTTGTATATATATTGCACGCCTCATAATGCAAAGCGTTTATTAAGAGTGCTTTACTCTCGACACGTCAAGGTCAAGCGATTTTGTGTTCTTAAAATGCCTCTATCATAACCATATTGCAATTATACGATAATATGAATTGCCGTATATCAAGAAAATACTCTAATCAATCCATGTCATGTTCTAAAATATAATTTTATATTGCTACTTTGAAAAAAATAAAAGGTTTGAAAAAAAATTACGTAGACGTCCGGATGTTGATTTCGTATGTGGTCACGATAACTCACGAAAAAATTGGCGTATTGAGAACAGGTTTTTTTATTAGCTTCAGAATTACATCAACTGGTTCACTATTTCATATCAATAGCCTAGTACGTGTCATTGGTTAATAAAATTATTGAAAATTTAAAGGCGCTTTCATGTTTCTTTTAGCCCTTGATAGACAAAGGACAAATGTATCATACATCCTATATCGATTTTATACTTTGTGTAATCGATTTATTTTGATAAACATTACTATTTTTCCCGGTCGGTGACACTACCTGGTAAAATAATAGAGCGCTAAATTTAAAACACGTAAATAATATATTTCAAAAGTCAGGAATACAATTTTTATTTTCTTCATCAAAATTAAATGAAACGCTCATAAGGCGTGCACTTTTGGATTTTCCTAACTATTTTTATATATTTGTTGTATACATAGATATACAAAAATTACCTGTAGAAAGTTTTAGGATAGTGCGGTACCTTAGCAATGGAAATAGTCTGCTGCTCCATAGCCTCGTGTATAGCGACACGATCATCTTCGCGCATTTTGTCGAACTCGTCGATGCACACCACGCCACCGTCTGCCAACACCATCGCACCGCCCTCCATTACGAAGTTACGCTATAATTTTTTAAAGTAATTATTATATATCATACTCAAAACACATTATTTACATTACATAACGCCAAAATAAAGCTGCTTACACTCGCAGGGTCTCGAATAACAGATGCTGTAAGACCCGCAGCACTTGAACCTTTGCCAGAGGTGTATACTCCAATAGGCGCAGCTTTTTCTACAAACTTCAACAACTGGGATTTGGCTGTACCAGGGTCTCCAAGAAGCAGAATGTTGATGTCCCCACGCCTGGTCAGACCATCTGGTAGCCTCTTACGTGACCCTGTAAGCATATATTGTTTTCGGTTATATTATATGCTCCATAATACATAAGATATCAGTACCAAATTGGAGGTCTTAAAATTTTAGATTAAAGATAAATTAGACACAGTAATATAAAAGTTATGCAACACCAAAATGTATTGTTGAGATATTGAAGTTTGAAGTTTTTCTATGACATTAACTTTAGGATCTAACATTTACCACAATCATTACAGTTATGAGTGTAAACCCTAGATATTATTTTGGAATATTATAAATCCGTTTTGAAACCAAGTATGAATTGGTTTGAAAACGAATTTATAATATTACATCCAATTTGTTTCAAGTGATGATATTAGTTATACAATGCTTAGTAGTGTGTGTTAAAAATGTTTGATGTGTAAATTATAAAATTATGAGAAACAAAAAGGTCTGATGATAGATAATCTTTTCAGGAACGAGATAGTATTACAAATGAAACAAGTATAGATATTGTTAAAAAAAGTCTAGCTAAGTTTTTTAATGAGTTAGTTGCTGATTCTTCTCAGGACAGAGGTATATACAAAACAGTGGTAAAAGTATAAATTAATTTAAGTATTCCTGTAATCTATATTTGATGAAAAAATATATTTCAATTTTAAGTTGCATGTGTATGATCTACAAATGACTAGCCTAGTTCTTGGTGTTAAGACAAGGTAGATGTAAAGACATCTACCTTGTCTTTAGTCTTAAGCCTCTGTTCCATGTAGACATGAAACAGGATCATTTAGTACAGAGGCTGTAACATTTATTTGCAAACATACTGAATTTAAACATTATCACTTTATTTCGTGTGAGCAGGGTTGCGTACCTTATACTCAGAATCACCAAACGGTATTCGCTGAAGGTCATACAGGTTTACGCACCAACCTCGGCACACCCCGATGAGGAGGTGGAGGAAATGTATGAGGATATCTCTAGAGCTATGCATTCCTCCAAAACCCAATATACAGTGTTAATGGGAGACTTCAATGCAAAACTAGACACAAGAGAGAATGGTGAGCTGAAAGTAGGGAAATTTGGAATAGGGCAATGGAACCCAAGGGGCCAGCAACTGGCCGACTTCATGGAGAAAGAGGGACTCTTTATGATGACCTCTTTCTTCCAGAAGCGGCCCCACAGAAAGTGGACCTGGTCGAGCCTCAATGGTTTCACAAAAAATAAGATTGACTTCATTATGACGACCAGACGACAACTGTTCAGCGATGTCTCCGTGATCGCGAGGGTGTAAACTGGTAGCGATCACCGAATGGTTAGAGGCACACTGAACCTAAACGTTAAGTTGGAGAGGTCTCATCTAATGAAGTCAACGCTCCGTCCCCCTCGTGCTCTGTTCCAAAGTCCTGAAACCTTTCAGCTCGAGTTACAAAACCGTTTTCAGTTCCTAGAAAACTGCAATGAAGTGGACGATATGAATGACAAGCTCATGAAAACTGTCCATGCGGTCGGAGCAAAGTTCTGCAAGACCCGCCGCAGAAGAACACAAAAACTCCCCGATCACACTCTTAATCTCATGGCTGTTAGACGGGAGATGAAGCTACATTCTTCAACAGATTTGACAGCATACAGGCAACTGAACAGACAGATCTCCAAGTGCATGCGGCGGGACTTACGCAACTTCAATACAGCTCGTATTGAAGATGCGATCAAGCGGAACCCAGGCTCCAAAGTCTTTGCCAGAGATCTGTCTGCCAGAAAGAGCCAACTGTCAAAGCTGAAGACCGAGTGTGGAAGCATCGTTTCCGGGGCACCTGAGATTTTGAGTGAGATTGAGAGGTTCTATGTGCAGCTCTACACGTCATCGTTGGAGCCACACGCAAGTGTGAGTAACGATCCAAGAGCGAGTCTCATCCGACACTATTCCGAAGATATCCCGGACGTCAGTCTGAGCGAGATTAGAATGGCTCTCCAGCACCTTAAAAACGGTAGGGCCCCAGGCGAGGATGGAATTACAGCGGAGCTTCTGAAAGCGGGTGGAAGACCGGTACTTGAAGTCCTTCAGAAGCTCTTTAATTCCGTCCTCCATGGTGGCATTACACCGGAGGCGTGGAGCAGAAGTGCGGTGGTCTTGTTCTTCAAGAAAGGTGACAACGCTCTCTTGAAGAACTACAGACCGATTTCCCTTCTGAGCCGCGTCTACGTGATGTTTTCGAGAGTCATTACGAATCGTCTCGCGCGCAGACTTGACGAATGACGAAACTGGCTTGTTCGGGAGGTCCAGCCTCCCGAACAAGCCAGTTTCCGAAAGGGCTTGAGGAAGCTCAAGGTCGCTCAGCGAGCTATGGAGAGGGCTATGCTCGGAGTTTCTCTGCGTGATAAACTTAGAAATGAGGATATCCGCAGTAGAAAGACCGTGTGACCGACATAGCCCAATGGATTAGTAAGCTGAAGTGGCAGTGGGCCGGCCATATAGCTCGAAGAACCGACAACCAACGGGGAAGAAAGGTTCTTGAGTGGCAGCCTCGTACCGGTAGACGAAGTGTAGGGCAACCCCCCACGAGATGGAGTGACGACCTGGTGAGACATGCAGGAAGTCGATGGATGCAGGTGGCTCAGGACCGTGCTTTGTGGCATTCCTTGGGGGAGGCCTATGTTCAGCAGTGGACTTATGAAAGGCTGCAATGATGATAATGATGAATCAGTTAGGTAGTTATAACTTGATCTATTACAACATTACCTCCAAATAATAAACAGGCTATAGCTTTCTTCATATCAACAGCTCCGAAAATACTGGGAGCAATAGATTTTGCAATTCTGTCGTATATATCTGGGGATGCTGCCAATCTACGAAACTGTTCCTCTTCCTCAGCTGTGAATGGCCGGAGACCACCTGTGACGCCTTCTTCTGCTGTCAATCCTACAGCACGTAAGTAAGATGAGCGAACACCGACGGATCCTTTATCACGGCCTTCTTTCTGTACATACAAAAAGTATCCTATATTTCCTAAAATTGTATTAAAACTACATAAACAGCGATTCGAGAGTGATGTTGGTGTGTAAAATAATGTTGTGCAATTGTACCTTTCTGTAGGTAGAACTGTAGCCAAAGAATACTATAATACACAATAGAATGGCTGTAAACCTTATTTTTTACGAGAACCGGTGTCACAGTAATATATTTTTCTTATGGTAAATAATGTTTAAGATTTATTCAAATACCACATCCAGCTGTTATTCCGACACGTAATTAACGCAGAAATCGGCAATTGTGAAATAAATTGCACCCAGCAACGCTTGACACAAAAATTGGGCAATAGACTGTGACGCCAAAAGAGACATTCACATTAATAGGTGTGAATTACATGGTGACATGTTAGTGGCTACACGGGCACCCACTCCCCCAATCTATTGTGTATGTACTATGTAGTACATACACAATAGAACGTAGTATGCTATGACTGTAGCAGACAGAAACATTTTATTTAAGGTGTATGTATATTGGTGTTAGCTTGCAATCATTAAAAAAAAATTAAAAACAGTTAATGAAGACATATCACGAAATTGCAAGCAAACAATGAAGACAAGAAAGTAGCAGCTGTGCATCTGTACAGTCTTAGGTGAGTTATGTTAAAGGTGCAAAACTTTTGTTGCCGCCACCATCAATCCACATGTCAAGTAAAGCCTAGTTCTCCCCACAAGGAGAGAGTTGCACATATCCATCAGTAGACTTTGCAGGCTGATGAAAATACGATAATCTTCAACATTGAATAGGCTTTTGTTACGCTAAGACTACATCAACACGTAACACTAGGTGGGATTGTAGTCAAGCACTGGCTTAAAATAAGTTAAAAAAAATACATAACATACAACTTTTATATGTGTAAAATTAGTTAAATCTTACCCCAATTTTGGCAATTTTTTTGATGGAATAAATGCCGAGTACAGTAACGCGAGCGCCGGGCGCGACCCTCTCGCACAGCATGCGTTCACAGTACACGGTTAAATGGCGCGGCATTTCACCCTGCGGGATGCTCTCTGGAGTCTCTTGAAGTTTTAGCACCTAAAACATGGCATTAAAAGATACATTTTATAAGCAACCGCGGTCCGGGACAGTATCTAAGTGCTTGGTAAAGCCAGGCGGGTGGCCACCCACACAATTCCCAAGGAAAAAGTACTTGTATACAAATAATTGATTTGTGTTTTGATGTTAGTACATGTGCAATTCATGTTTGTAAAAAGTCTCCACTATACAAGAGAGGGGTGCTTTTTATTAACGATAAGAAAATAAAAACATGGCATTTTTTTCCTATTTCCTTAAATGTAAATTCAGGCTGTAGCAATTTTTCTTGTATTGTGATGGTGTTTTATAAACATAAATCACATAATAAAGCAAAAAACCCTAAAATAAAATTAACACCATACTTCTTTCTTCTTATTTTTTAACAGTATCATAAAATTCCACTACTGGATATTGAGCCTCTCACATTGTAGGAAGGATTAGCCTTAACGATAATGCTTGGCAGATGGAAAGAAGAAGAAGAAGTTCTCAGTGCCAGACGTCTCGCAATCTCGAAATATTACGTCTGCCGTAAATTATAGTGTGTTCGCTAAGATAGAGTTGGTACACCCAGAAGTGCACTTATTATTTTGCTTTTATTTTATAATTATTGTAATAAAATACGAATATAAATAATAAACACAAGTTACGTAGCAAATAACCTTTTGCTATGGCACTTCTTTTTAAAATGCCAAATTCTCCTTCGGGTGTACGCCGCAGCCGGCGCCGCTTTTAACAAAATGCGATACGTGCCAAGGCGGCGCGACACAAAGGCGACGGTATTTAAGCGAACAGACCATAGATAGTTAAACCACCATTTATCGAAAATTACATTTCTCTGGTATTTCCAATGGTCGCCTCATTCGACACCCACGGAATGTAATGGAATAGTGGACATTCTTCCGCCGCTACCACATGGCATACATTAACTACATTAACAGCATACATTAATTTGTTTTTATTTTATTGATCAGTCTTACCTGATAATCAATGCATTTACATTTATCTGGAATAATGAAGAAGGGATCCAAGGGACATTTTGGTCGACCAGCTTGTTCTCTGAAATTAGAATAATATTTCTTTTAAATCACAAAATATTTAGTAAGTACATATAACAAAAATAATTGAAAGTAAAGAGTTTGTTTACACTGTTTGATTGTCAAAAACATATATAAACATTATTATACACAAAGGAGCACACAGTCCACCTGATGGTACCTAAATGGTTGCTGTGGCTCATAGATATCTACATCCATCCTCATTTGCGAATCAAAATGTAGATGCGTTGTCAGCCGTGAGGACAGTGCATTTGCATTTTTCCGGTTCTTTACACTCACCACAGCATAGCAGCATTAAGCTGTTATTTTACGCTGGTATTCTGTGAGGGCATGGTTCTTCCCCGGTCAAGCCTACCCATTTGTGCTACAACTATACTATTAATATAGCTGCCACATGGCTCTACCATGCATAAACATGAACATATACAGTGTTTTTATTATATTAAATATGATATATTGTGAAGAATAATAGTGGTAATATATGGGCCATAGTAGCATACCTATCATCCAAAAACTGTACTCACGTATTACATTTCCTAGGCATAACATATCCCTCTAGACCAGGTTTCACAGGCAAATTAGGTATGATATTGCGACAGGAGCGGCATTGTATGGATATTTTTGTCGCCTTCGCTTTTATTGCCGATGTTGATATAACAATACCTGGTATCTTCACAAGCCGTGAAACTGTTTCAGACTAAAATAAAGTAAAACTTTTAACAGATAATATTATTTAAAAAATAAAAGTATAATGAGAATAGATTTTATGGTTACGAAACATTAATACATCCTGAACAAATTACTACACAACATAATTAAAAATTTAAAATAACAGAATTCAAGAGAGGTATAATTTTATAAATTTTGACTGCTGATTTTGAAAGTGTAAAACATTAAACTGATAACTAACCTTAAGCTCTCGTAAGCTGGAAGGATTTGCATCAGATGATAATAAGACTTGTATATCTTCAACATTTTCTTCACCTTCAGGTCTAGGTGCAGTGAGTTCATCTGCCAACTTTGAATAAATAAAAAATTATTATGTAATTGAGATTATTAACAACAATATCTAAGTATCTCAGTGCACCGGGGTTGCTTCTTGAAATCAGTCAGATTTCTGAGTCAGCTTAAGAAGCTAAAATAAAACTGACTTTATAACCTTACACATTTTAATTACTTAAATTATTAAATAGTTACCAACAAAATAATACTTTGCTGAACTGCACTATAGTGCAATCAAATAATTATTATTATATAGTGTTTATTTCATAGTTATATCTTTATAATTTATGTAGTATAAAACTATAAGTAACTACAGTAGGCGCATAAGCTATCTTACTGATATTATAAATGTAGAGTATGTCTGAATGTTTGTATATGGATTCTCATGAAACTAGATGTAGAAGTGGATTATGTTGTGGTTAGAATATATTTTTATAACAACTATTACTAAAGTTTAACTTATATTCAGCAAAATGTGGGTGCTAGCTAGTAATTAATTTTTTTACATGCTATAAGCCAGTGCTTCACTTAAAACTCCACCACCAGGTAAGTTATGAAGCCCTAGCTTTATAATTATGCCACCAAGCAATGCTTTAATTCAGTTTCTATGTATGACAAAATCCATATGGGAATTTGTGGAATTATAGTAACTTCTAAGCCAGGACTTTTATAATTTTTGATTATTGAGGGTTATTCATTTTTTAAAGAATTTGTAATAATAAGTAAGCACACAGACCACCAGATGCTAAATGTTTGTTATTCCTCATGGACCTACATCTATCCTCAATTAAAAATAAAAATGCAGATGAGTTGTCACCTCTGAGGAATAACATAAACTAGGTAAATACTTTTACCTGTTTATGTCACCAAGCAGTAGAGACTGTAATGCAGCAATAATTACGGGTGACAACACATTTGTAGACTTTATGATGGCATTTGTGAATTACTATGAAAAGACATGACTTGAGGACGAAAACTATGTGGCTGTTTGGAATTCAGAGTGTCTCACAGAGCTACAAATTAATTGGAATCTTTGCATAAAACACTAAAAAATTAGATTAATGACAAACATCCAAATTTACTAAAGTTTTTTGAATTGCTTGCTAAAAACGCCCAGTTTTTTGCTAAGGCATCTTTTGACAAAGAAATTTAGAAAACGATTGCAAATGTACATTAAAAGACACAAATTTACACAGGATATATAATTACGTCTACTCAATAATGAAATTAGTGTTGGTCATTTCCTGGACATATTGCAGAATTTATAAATTACTTACTATTATTTGAAACAAGGAAGTTTAATTTGGTTTGAACTAGTGATGCTACAATACGGTATATTCGTATTTGTGGAATAGTAAACAATTACCGAATATTCGTATTCGGAGAATACTGATCACAAATATTCAAAACTAATATTGTTGTACGCAACTCTATAAATAACTTTCTCTAATAATTAACTTTTTTTACGTGGTAGAGCCATGCTGCAGCTATATTAGTAGTATATTTGTAGCACGAATGGGTCGGCTCGACCGGGGAAGGACCACGCTCTCACAGAATACCAGCGTCAAATAGCAGCTCAACACTGCTGTGTTTCGTATGGTGAGTGTAGAGAACCAGATACCCTTTTTACTGGAAACGAGGCATTCCATCTTAGTCCTCACGGGTGGCAACGCATCTGCATTTTGATTCGCAAACGAGGATAAATGTAGATGTCTATGGGCCACAGCAACCACTTACCATCAGGTGGACTGTGAGCTCGTTTGTCACCCTATACTATAAAAAAAAAGGGATACCGTCGTATGCTCAGTGAACTAGCTCCAAGGTTTGTTTGCTTTTATTTAAATTCTATATTTTTCCTGCGACTTCGCCCGTGCAGAGGTTGGTATTAGTCACTTTTCCCCTCCTATGGAAATTTTATTTATCGGGATAAAAAGTAGCGTAGTCTATGTTTTAATCTGAATTAAGGTGTATAAGCTAACTTAATTCCAAATTTCAGTCAAATCCATTCAGCGGTTGTACATACACACATAATCACAAACTTTCACATTTGTAATATTAGTGGGATACTCTTTCAAATTTCACACAACCTTTTTTGAATTCGTGACTGTTATTTTTTACAGACATAATATTATATCCAGAGGTGGGTGGGTAAGGTGGGTACCTTACAGAAAAAATCTACAAATTTTGTTTTTTAAATAAAAAATTGCCTATTGTAAATTTTAATTATTAGCACAATAGAAAATTATCAAATAATTTTTTATTACCATGGCGAAATATTCGTATTCGCTGAATAGTAGGTTTGATATTTGTATTCGTAAAAGTAGTATTTGTGACATCACTAGTGTAAACACAATTTGTAATATGATTTTTGTTTAAGTTTGTGGTTATTAAAAATTAATTAATATGTTAAAGTATGAATATATTTTCTGTTTAACTGTTCTTGGGGTGGAAAGGCACAACAACAATCAAAAAGCAAATTCTGACTATCCACCCCTTCTAGGGTGAATAAATAAACACACATTTCCGAGTATCCACCCTAAGGTGGATTTCTTAGGGTGGATAAACAGAATAACCCGAAAAAATGTACATAATATATGATATATATCTATACAAATAAATAAAATTTAAGTACCTGTAGTCAAAATAACAGCTTTTTTGACTTGTATTGTCAAAATAACAACTTTTTACTAAATGCATATACAATACTTATAACAATAAACTATTTTTAAATTTTTGTTTGTCTTTATGGCTGTCTATTTGTTTTGGCTAATCTCCGAAATGGCTGGACCGATATTGACGGGATTTTTACTGACTGGTAGATAGCTGATGTTATAAGGAGTAATTTAGACTACTTTTATTTTTAAAAAAGAATTATGGTTCCGCGCCAAAAAAAATAGAACTCCAATCGTAATCCTAGCAGTTTCCACGCGGACGAAGTCGCGGAAAATAGCTAGCCTTTAAATAAAATGAGTGTAGCTTACTAAATAAGTAAACATACCTCTTTAGCTGCCTCTTCTAAAATTGGCAAATGTTCTGATGGTTTTTTATACAATTTCTCTGCTAGAATCTCATCAAAACTGGACAGATCTTCAATGTTTATTTCGACCCAATACTGGTTGAGGTTGTAATTTCGTTTGAGTGCATCCCTAAAACGAATAATAATAACACAAAGTACTAAACATTGTTGAATAAAGAACAGATTTAAGCAATTATTTAAAAAACGTTTTAAAGGAACTTAACCACGCACCTGTATTTAAAATTAAAATTTCCTGTATGAAATTGTCTAATGAATTCTTTAAACTTTTTTTTTACAGCCTGCAAGTTAATTTGATCTTGTGATTCATTCTCTTCTACACCAAAATTGTCAGAAAAAAATACTCCAGGATCATCAAACCCTTCCATTCTTATTTGTTGTTATCAATTAATTTATAGTAAATTGAAAAACAGTTCTAATGCTAAACACTAAACTTCCAGTTAAACTTATTGCTGTGACACTAATTTTGGCGCTAAATTTGACATTGACACATTGATTTGTTTATTTATATATTTATTTGCAGGCAATGGGATCTATACCCATACAACCTATTCTGACATGTATTCAATAAGCTGAGCTTTTTAAAAGTTATTTGCTATTTTGTTTCGTAACAATTTTATATATTTTATAAAATTTGCATTTCAAATACTGTGTCGTTCTTGTATAAATAAAGTAATAAGAAGTAACTGAAAATTAAATATGAAGTGTAAGATTTTTTTTTATTGATCCACCAACATTTGTATCATTCCTTACATGTTATTTAAATACAATGAACCAATAAGAACTAAAATGTACAAATATTTACAGGCGGATACCACATGCTAATAACTATCTCAGCACTGTAACTTTATTTCTAGGGTAAAAAAATAATAATAATTATATACAGTAATAAAAATACATAGAGCGAAAAGATAAGAAAATGTTTTATAGAATATTACAAGAAATGGTCTCTTAATGTGCGACGGAGCTTGTTAGGAGGGTCGAAAAATGTATCGATTGTTTCGCTAAATTTGTTAACAATTTTACTCATTCTAGCAATTGGAGAATTGGAGCCAAACACTGTTCTACGATGAGGTCTAGTCAACTGAGTAATCTTACGAGAGAAACGCGGATAGCGATAGGGAACGCACAAATTAAATTTATTTAAAATTTCGGGACAGTCAATAACACCACTAATAATTTTCGAAGCAAAAATTAAATCAATAATATCCCTGCGGTTTTCTAGAGAAATCATTTTGAAATAGACCAAGTTATTTTCATATGGTACACGCTTCTTATAACTTCTAAACCCACGCGCGTAAGACAAATGTCTTATGAATCTTTTTTGGATCCGCTCGATTCTCAGTGAATGTGTAGCATAATGAGGTCTCCAGACTACAGCACAATATTCTAATATACTTCTTATCAAACTGTTAAACAATAGAATTTTCATTTTAGAGCTTCGAATACTTTGATATTTCTTATTACAAAACCCATCATCCTAGATGCACGTTTAGTAATGTTTTCAATGTGAGGCACAAAAGTTAATTTTTTATCGAAAACAACCCCTAGGTCTCTAATTTGGTCTAACTGCTGTATATTATTATCTCCAATGTGATAGCTATAATCGATAGTATTACTTTTTCTCGCATATTGCACATAAAAACATTTACTAATGTTTAAGTCCATACGATTTACTTTCCACCATTCCACCAATTGATCCAAATCGTTTTTTAGCTTCACTGAATCATTCTCTTCCGTTATCATCTTGCAAATTTTTAAGTCATCCGAATACAAGTACGCACAAGAACTTTTCATCAATTCTGGAATTTCATTAACGAACACTCCAAACAGAATCGGTCCAAAATGTGAGCCTTGGGGCACACCAGAATGAATAATTTTCAAGCCTGACTGATATCCATTCACTAATACAAAAAACGCTCGGTCATTTAAATATGATTTTAGCCAATTCAACAAACTACCAGTAATACCATAGGCAGCTAACTTTCGAATCACTATATCATGTGGGACCCGATCAAACGTTTTGCTAAAATTGGTATATATAACGTCGACTTGTTTTCCCGCATCAAGCGCTTCAATTAGTGTTTCCGTAATATGTACCAAGTTAGTACTCGTGGACCTAGATTTAACGAAACCATGTTGGTAGTGGTTAAGTAAAGATTGATATGTCTCTGAATAAAAGGACAAATTATTGACTCAAATAATTTAGCGAAGACTGATAGTATAGAGGTCGGTCTGTAATTTTTTACATAATCCGCACTACCCGCTTTATAAACCGGAACGATTTTAGCTATTTTCTAATCTATAGGAATCTGCCCAGTACAAAGAGAAAGATTGAGAATAATTAAAAGTGGGTTAACAAGATGTTCAGCACATCTGACTACGAACACTGGAGGTATTCCGTCAGGACCTGCCCCTTTATTACAATTGATGGCTTTTAGTTTATTTAATAGGGTATCATGATTAATTGTCAGCTTTGCTAAGTGAAGGCTATTAATTTCTATTGATTTCAAAGACTCTGAATGGTCATAAACATAATCCTGCTCTAAGATAATACTATAAACCATTTAGAAAACACAAAGTCCAATGTGCGAAAATTACGTTTTATGTTATAACTTCGATATATCGTGAAAATTATGGGAAAGTTGTTTTCAGCAAAAATGGCGTTGGTCAAAGGTAGCGTAATAAAACACATATATAGCAAAGATTGCATTTTTTATTTATTTATTAGAGGCTCCTACTGAGTAAATATCGATATAATTATATTATATATTTATTTTCTTTACGAAAATTCGAGTGTTTCTATGTTCTTGTTTTTGTTTCTTTCTACATAGTCATCATCATTTTATCATCATTACAGCCATTCACAAGTCCACTGCTGAACATAGGCCTCCCCCAAGGAATGCCACAAAGCATGGTCCCGAGCCACCTGCATCCACCGACTTCCTGCATATCTTACCAGGTCGTCAATCCATCTAGTGGGGAGACGCCCTACACTTCGTCCAACGGTACGAGGCCGCCACTCGAGAACCTTTTTTCCCAATCGGTTGTCGGTTCTTCGAGCTATATGGCCTGCCCATTGCCACTTCAGCTTACTAATCCGTTGGGCTATGTCGGTCACTCTGGTTCTACTGCGGATATCCTCATTTCTAAGTTTATCACGCAGAGTAACTCCGAGCATAGCCCTCTCCATAGCTCACTGAGCGACCTTGGGCTTCCTCATCGGGCCAGCAGTGAAGGACCATGTCTCAGTACCATAGGTCATCACTTGCAACACGCACTGGTTGTACAGTCTCGTTTTAAAGTTTTGAGGTATACCTGACGAAAAGATGTGCCGTAATACCCCGAACGCTACCCAACCGAGTTGAATCCGTCGATTGACCTCTCGGTCGAATTTGGACTTACCTAGTCGGACTATTTGTCCCAGGTAAACAAACTTGTCAACAACTTCGAGCTTAGTGCTCCCAAAAACTACCGGCATAGGTGTGACATGGACATTAAACATGATCTTTGTTTTGTCGATGTTCTTCTTAAGACCTATCCGTTGGGAAACACTATCGAGGTCATTGAGCATAGTGCTTAGGTCCTCCAGTAATTCTGCCATAAGGACTATATCGTCAGCAAATCGAAGGTGAGTGATGTACTCGCTATTGATGTTAATACCGTATCCTTTCCAGTCCAGAAGCTTGAAAACGTCTTCCAATGCAGCGGTGAAGAGTTTCGGGGATATAACGTCACCCTGTCTTACACCTCTCGGCAATTGGATAAGTTTCGTACTCTGGTTCTGTACTCAGATAGCCATCGTAGCCCTACTGTACAAGCACTTCAGCACTTCGATATACCGACAGTCAACTTGGCATCGCTGAAGGGACTGCAGCACCGCCCAATTATTTCGACGGAATCAAAGGCTTTATCATAGTCCACATACGAAAGACATAGTGGCAAATTGTACTTCTCGGACTTCTGTACAATTTGCCGAAGAGTATGTATGTGGTCTATGGTGCTAAAGCCTTTTCGGAAACCAGCTTGTTCGGGAGGCTGGAAGCCGGCAAGTCTGCGCGCGAGACGATTCGTAATGACTCTCGAAAACAGCACGTAGACGCCGCTCAGAAGGGAAATGGATCTGTAGTTCTTCAAGAGAGCGTTGTCACCTTTCTTGAAGAACAAGACCACCGCACTTCTGCTCCACGCCTCAGGTGTAATGCCACCATGGATGACGGAATTAAAGAGCTTCTGAAGGACTTCAAGTACCGGTTTTCTACCCGCTTTCAGAAGCTCCGCTGTAATTCCATCCTCGCCTGGGGCCTTGCCGCTTTTAAGGTGCTAGAGAGCCATTCCAATCTCGCTTAGACTGACGTCCGGTATATCATCGTAATAGTGTCGGATAAGACTCGCTCTTGGATCGTTAGTCACACTTACGTGTGGCTCCAACGATGATGTGTACAGCTGCCCATAGAACCTCTCAATCTCACTCAAAATCACAGGTGTCCCGGAAACGACGCTGCCACACTCGGTCTTCAGCTTCGACAGTTGGCTCTTTCTGGTAGACAGATCTCTAGCAAAGACTTTGGAGCTCTGGTTCCGCTCGATCGCTTCTTTAATACGAGCAGTATTAAAGTTGCGTAAGTGCATGCGGCATTTGGAGATCTGTGTGTTCAGTTGCCTGTATGCTGTTAAATCTACTGAAGACTGCAGCTTCATATCCCGTCTAACAGCCATGAGATTAAGAGTGTGATCGGAGAGTTTTTGTGTTCTTCTGCGGTGGGTCTTGCAAAACTTAGCTCCCACCGCATGAACAGTTTCCACGAGCTTGTCATTCATATCGTCCACTGCATTGCATTCTTCTAGGCCCTGAAAACGGTTTTGTAACTCGAGCTGAAAGGTTTAGGGACTTTGGATTAGAGCACGAGGGGGACGGAGCGTTGACTTCATTAGACGAGACCTCTCCAACTTAACGTTTAGGTTCGGTGTGCCTCTAACCATTCGGTGATCGCTGCCGGTTTTCATCCTAGCGATCACTGAGACATCACTGAACAGTTGTCGTCTGGTCGTCATAATGAAGTCAATCTCATTTTTTGTCGAACCGTCGGGGCTCGACCAGGTCCACTTCCTGTGGGGCCGCTTCTGGAAGAAAGAGTTCATCATAAAGAGTCCCTCTTTCTCCATGAAGTCAGCCAGCTGCTGGCCCCTTGGGTTCCGTTGCCCTATTCCAAATTTTCCCACATTCAGCTCACCGTTCTCTCTTGTGCCTAGTTTTGCATTGAAGTCTCCCATTAACACCGTATATTGGGTTTTGGAGGAATGCATGGTTCTAGAGATATCCTCATACATTTCCTCCACCTCCTGATTGGGGTGTGCCGAGGTTGGTGCGTAAACCTTTACGACCTTCAGCGAATACCGTTTGGTGATTCTGAGTATAAGGTACGCAACCCTCGTCGACACACTCTCAATCTTTACAAAGTTGTTAACGAGAGACTTGTGGACGATAAATCCGACACCTCCTTGGGACAGATGGTCGCCCTCCCGGTAATAGAGCAAGTTGCCGGATTCGAGGATTACCGTGTCCTCCCCCTCTCTTCGGACTTCGGATAATCCTATAATATGCCAGCGTAACTTGTCTATCTCTTCTTCCAGCCCCACAATCTTCTCGTCAGTCCTCAGGGTGCGTGCGTTGTATGTTGCCAGGTCGAATCGTCGTAGGTGGCAACCGAACCTCCACCGGAGATTCTTAGCACCCCCTGCCCCGCCGTTACCATGGTCGCCACCGTAGCCAGGAATAGCCGGGCCGCCGGGGACTGGGGGCCGTCTCTTCGTAACTTTCATCATGGGGGGTATATTGCCATAGTTGCCACGCTTGGCGAGCGGGTTGGCAACCGCAGTTTTTTTATTGTATTTTGCCGTTACCAGGAAGATGCTGCTGCCCATCTCCTGCCTGTATACCTTTGTCGCCTTTTACGACACCCACGGGAAGATATGGGGTAGTGGATATTCTTAACCGCCACTACACGGCAACTTCCATAGTAAAAATTATATGTACTACAGGGGTCAAATTTTAATGACGGTTATCTCTTCTTTCCGCTTTTCGTAATATGTCTATTAATGACATTGTCAAATCAAATAGGTTCAAATGTCAAATCAAACAATTATATTTGTATATATTTTATTTATTAAGATTGCTTTAAATTTTGTTATAGAAGCTGTTGTTCATTTACACAATTGTTAAAAAAATAAATAGGTATGTATTATAAAACTTGCCAATTAAATGGTACAAGAAGCGGAAAAAATAATAACAAGAAAAGGCTATTCGTAGCAATATTTCCCTTAGATGATGAAAGGTATGTGGTGAGTTCAACTTTAATTGTAATATGATGTTTAACGCAACTACATTTTTGGACTAGCCATCTACATGGGACTGGTTTTAATTGTGTACTATTGTGTGCACAAATACAAACACACAATTTCCTAAATCTGATAGTTAGATGGAATGGCAATCCGAAACCAACTATACTTAGAAACTACATCATCAATTGTGACTGATAGCATTCTATTTGTTCTATAAAAATATGATTTTATTTATATTATTTTTCAGATGCAAGCAATGGGCGAAACAGTTGGCACATGCACCAATTGAAAAGATTGACATGTTAAAACATATTTGTGGCAAACATTGCAAATCCGAGGATTTAGAAATCCAACTAAAATGAACTGTTATTTCATCAGTGGAGTTAATTTAAACTTCCACTATTATGTGTATGTTAATTAGGTTTCATTTACATGTAGCAAAAGATAATATCCATATAAAGTCACATATTGGTAAGAATTCGATTATAAAACAACTCAAAGTTATTTGTTATTACCTGGTTATAAATAGTTTTTTTATAGATTCATTTACAAACATTAGCCATAACGAGCACTCATTTTGAAAGCGACAATAAGTATACGATCTCTGCGAGTAGTATGTACGTAGGTACCTCTGTGAAAAAGCCTAGCGATTTGTACATAGTATTTGTTATAGTTAAAAGCAATTTAATCCAATTAGTGTTAATAAACTCAATTTAAAAAAAAAACTGACGTTGAAAACAAGCGTCCAGACGCAAACTATTTATTTTACAGCATAGCAACAATAGTTAAGTCCGGGAACGAAGCCTCGGTCCTGCAGTGCCGCAGCCAAACGCTTAGCCTCTGCGCTACGGAGTCGTCATTTAGTTTTCATTTAATTAATTATTAGTATAATAGTGCGTTTTAATTTTATATTTTCTTTACACATATTTATGTACCTAATAACTGTAGAGATATAATTACAAATTTCTGCGTGTAAAATACAATGATTTGTTATCCTAATCGGCATTTTTACTCAATCCCCAGATTAAAAAAAGTATTGCTCATAAATAATTCAGTATAGAGAACTAACTTTTATTATGTAAAAATATCAATAAACAATATATCGATAAGTTTTATCGATAGAATTATTCGAGGATTGACATTTACAGCACTATTAGAAATCGCCTATGTTGTCAGCACTGTTTGTCAAAAATTAATTGTCATGTCTTGATGTTGGTAGAGTAGCTTGGCGCAATGTCATACATTAACTTTTTCTTAGGAAGGCCCGCTCCCGCCTAAGGGTATTAGTGTTCTGTGGTCCCGCCTCTTAAACGTAGTGTTTATATTCTCTTTGATCATTTTGTAATAGGTATGGAGTGTAGAGTAGAAGGAGGACCATCTCTGTATATGAAAAGTGTCCCTAAAAACGCGTCCAATAATGGTGGCGCTGCAGTAGCATAGGATAAATTTAAAATAAAAGCGCCAAAATTCATTAGAATAAGATGGAGAAATAAACAAGGACTGACCAATCCGCTTGGTTTTGTACTACGTAAATAGTTGAGGTTTTGTATACTGGCATTTTACTAACTACTCTAGTCATGAATTTTTTTAAATATTTTAATTCAGCTGACTTCACTCCGTCTACAACAGCTATATTCATATCGTAGTTTTTCAGACGCCAGCGCTATTGTGGTAGGTTTTGGAACCTCTATTTTCAGTATATTTTGGGACACTTTTTCAACTTTCGCACCTTATAAGATGGTTCTCCTTCTACTCTACACTCCATAGTAATAGGGCCATAGACTAATTTTACTAAAATTTTTAGGATTTTAATTGTGTAAGTCTTGTAAATAACATTTAAGAAAGAAATGTTCTGAGGGGTCTACAAAAGTGGCATGTGAGAACCCGATGTAGACCACTGGGACGATTGGGGTAGTTCAAAACATTCGAGTTCGATTCCCAAACAGTTAACGGGTTTTTCTGTCAAGAAATTCTTAGTAACAGCCCAGAGTTCGGAACTTGACGGTTTTTGACCCACGTGCCTCGGGAAACAAGCAAGCCGTTGGTCCTGCACTTTATCTCTTTTCGGTCGTCTCGGATTGCGACACTCGTGAACTTTAAAAGTGGCAGTCGTGACCGAAACCTGGTCTGAAGGACATTATATATGTCGTGCAGCATATGATTAATAGGACATTATTCATAATGAATAGAAAGTTTTAAAAATGCCCAATTTATGAGGGCATTGCAACAGTAACTATTAAAAATATTACATTAACTTGATTTTATGAAAAATTTCTGTAAAAATGGGTTTTATTTTATTTAAACAGGTGCGATGAAGAGCGAAGTAAGGAGGAACTTTAGATTACTGGTGATCACAATGCAAGAGCCGAGCGAGCGAAGCAAGTGTGCCATGGAGTGGCGGTCTAAGAAAATCCACTACCCCATATCGTCCCACGGCGGTCGTAAGAGGCGACAAAGAGAAACTGAAACTGGCAGCAGTATTTTCCCGATGACAACTCAAAATTATAAAAACTGCAGTTGCCAACCCACTCGCCAAGCGAAAAGCTCTCATCTATGGGGGAGGCGTAAGTTCAGCAGTGGATTTTTATGGGTTGTAATGGAAATGCCATTAAATTTGTTATCCATTACTTATAAGGGAAAAAATAATAACATTAAATACATAAATAAATCATTAAATTAATATTTTAGTTTAGATTTGGCGGTTTACTCAAAATCTCTCGATAGAGAGTGTAACATTCCCCTCCTCCCCCCCTACTTATCTTTGCCTTTCTTTAGAATCTATATCTATAAGATTTATAAATATATCAAATTTACGTGACCAGTATATTAACCATATATTGATCTTTCTAAAGGTTTAAATATAGGCCGTTTATTAAATTTATGGCGTGATCGTCTTAGTTGTTGTTATTTACGTTGTGTTTGTATAGGAACTTAGTTCTTTTAGGTGTATCTCGGAAGAATGAATATGAATAGTAAAGTCATACCTATATTTAAATCTGGTAGTACATTAGACCCCGCCAATTTTAGACCAATTTCTGTACTACCAACATTAAGTAAAATTTTTGAAAAAATTATTTTAGATCAGATGTTAAGTTTCTTTAATATTAATAAATTGCTACATAAAAATCAATTCGGTTTTACAAGGGGTCGCTCGACAACTGACACTGGAGTTGAGCTTATTAAACATATTTTTTGGGCATGGGAGAATTCAGAGGATGCTTTGGGTATATTTTGTGACCTTTCCAAGGCCTTCGACTGTGTTCACCATGAGACATTAATCAGGAAGCTACAGTACTATGGTGTCAAGAACACAGCGCTTAAACTTATTATTTCATATTTAAGTAATAGAAAACAGAAGGTTATTATTAATGGTAAAAGTTCTTCCGGGTCACCTGTACCTCAGGTCTCGATTCTCGGCCCATTCCTGTTTCTGGTGTATATTAATGACTTACCTCACCTTGTAGGGGATAGTCATGATATAGTATTATTTGCTGATGATACTTCCTTGATTTTTAAACTTAAACGTCAATCATTTAAATGTGACGAAGTGAATAATGCTATATCAAAATTAGTGCATTGGTTTAACGTTAATAATCTGCATTTGAACGGAAATAAAACTAATTGTGTTAAATTTACAACAACGAATGTTAAAAATCTGAATACCAATGTGTCTTTAAATGGGGAGGAATTTAGCCCTGTTGTATCCACTGTTTTTGTTGGCATCACTCTTGACGCAAAGCTCCAGTGGGGCCCCCATATATCCAAATTAGCAAGCAGACTAAGTTCTGCAGCCTATGCTGTAAAAAAGATTAGAGGTCTCACTAGTGTCGAGACAGCTAGATTAGTTTATTTTAGTTATTTTCATAGCATAATGTCTTATGGGATTTTGCTATGGGGAAATGCGGCTGATTCAGAAACTATTTTTGTTTTACAGAAGAGGGCCATTAGAGCTATTTACAATCTAGAACCGAGAGAGTCTCTTAGAGATAAATTTAAAGAAATTAATATATTAACTTTGGCCTCTCAGTATATTTACGAAAATTTAAAGTATGTTCACAAAAACAAAGATAGTTTTAGTAAAAGAAGCGATATACATTCTGTAAACACTAGGAACAAACACAAGCTAGTGATACCAGTTTCTCGACTCCACAGAGTCAGTAATTCATTCTTGGGGCAATGTATACGCTATTACAACAGGGTCCCGGAAAGTGTACAGGTTCTCTCTATTACCAAGTTTAAATGTTTTATTAAGCTGAAACTGTATAAAAAGGGTTATTATAGTATAAATGAATACATGGTTGATAATAACCCCTGGGAATGAGGTGATCGCTTCCAAGCAGTTTCTAAAATAAATTTTGTAAATAATTCGTAATCTTTTTTTTTTTATAGGAGAGCGGGCAAACCAGCATGCGGCTGACCTGATGGTAAGTGACTACCGCCGCCCATGAACAACTGCAACACCAGGGGAATCGCAGATGCGTTGCCGGCCTTTTAAAAAGGAGTACGCTCTTTTCTTGAAGGTCCCTAAGTCGTATCGGTCCGGAAAAATCGCTGATGGTAATCGATTCCACAAGGAGGTAATCATTAATATAGTAAAATTTATTTTAAAAAAAAGTCCCGCTGGATTTCTTGCTGGTTCTTCCCAGGACAGAGAGTTTTTTTCGAACCAGTGGTAAAGTAAAAAATGACTTTCAATAAGTATTACACATGTAATGTATATTGAATAAAAAAAATTCTATTCTATTCTATTCTATTCACAAGAGAAATCAACAGGTTAGGCAATAATAGGCACAATGGCTATAAAAAGCCCTCCTTGAGCGCCACCACCTGCCAGACCGCCGTTCCTGCAGACGTGATGTAAGTGTAAGGCATCACCACCAATTCCATGATCAGCACGGCCAATTGGCCGCAGAGCGTGTCGTGAGTCTACGGCTCACCTCAAGGGAATGTGGTCCCACGTTGCGTGGCTTTCGGCCGCAGCCTTGAAAGCCTCCTCAGATTCTCCCTCCAGCTACCACCCGCATGAGGTCGACACATATGCTCCACCAACCAATACAAAGGATATAGCCAATAGGCAGTTATAAGATAATAGTAATAATTCGCCATCAGAAAGGGTCAGTGACACACTGACGTTGGGTATATGCATTTTTGATCATGTTTGTCTCACCCATCAGCAAGCTGCCTTCAATCATTCAAAGGTGGGAAATTTATAGAGGTCAGACTGTCTGCAGCCCCGTAATGAAAGGACCCGACTTGGGCAAAGATACTTGGGTTGTGAGTCAAACCAAGACGCAGAGAGCGCCATTGAGAATAGTGACCCGCCAAACAACGATCGCGGAGACGCAATGCGCAACAAGCATCAATACGACTGTCGTCGGCTTACACCATCCCAAGGTCCCCCATACAGTTCCAGCAGACATCACCACCCGCATACCTCCATCGAGCAGAACCACAAGATGCGTCGAATCAGGCGCAGCACACCCGCAGCTCCATCACAAGACGCAATACCGCAAGTAGCAGTAAGCGTCAATGCAACTATCATACGGATGGCGCCCCTTTACATCACACCCACATTGATCACTATCGACTTTGGTAACAAAATGGATAATGTTGTTAACTAAAAATGTAACGTATCATTAGCGCTATTGCACTAAGACATGGAGTTGAGTATGCTTGGTGCACTAAAAGTACTATCAAACAAACTTACCCTAATCCGAAAGATAGCTGACGTATCATAACGCTATGCGTTAAGACGCCCACGATAAGTGCGATGTCCACGGGCAAGTCGTATTGCTACAACAAGCCCGCTTACCATCGGCACTAAGATGATATGTCTAGGACCAATCGGTTAGCGAGTTCAAGTTTACCTCGGTCTCGGACACTGTGAAGCAATCAACACGCTAATATAATAATCCTTTTCAAGTCCCATTTCTATCAATATAATGCTTTTACATATTTGAGACCTTCTACATATTTGCTTTATTTCATAGACTATACTATTATATGTCTTATACATATGCTATCACAATGCTTATGCATCATAGAGACCTTCTATATTAATGCTTTGGTTCCATAGACCTTACTATCGTAAGTCCCTAATATAGGACCCATATATATGTACAACCTTGGGTATGTGTCTCCGGCATCGCTTTTCTTACAAGGAAACATTACATGAACACCCTCATTAACTTAGAAATTTTCCGAGTAATACAAGAACACCCTCATGAACTATGAAAATTTCTGAGTAGTTACATGAACACCCTCATAACTTTGAAAATTTTTGAGTAATACAAGACTACTCATTAACTTAATTATATTACAAATGTTATTTATCTTTATTATTGTAATATAAACGACTTGTACTTGTATTATTTAATACATTTTGAATACTTTAAACAGAATTTTAATAAATTTAGAGATTTTAAAGACAATTTATGAGTTTACCAGGGTCACAAGAGTAATTGTGTTCTGTGCTCAAAATAAAACAAAACTTTAAAGACATAACTGTTGCTATAACAACCACTTTATCGAAATAAACAGTTATGTTAGAAATTCCACGATTATTGCAATTATATTCTCTTTGATTTATTGGTTGAAGCGTTTATTTGCAAATCTGCATGAAACTTAATGATTTACATTATTTTTTATGGAATAAGTGATAATTTCGAATAAATGGTTTAGCAATACAACACATTAAATATGGGTGATGTAAGTCTCATTTATATTGTGTATTTTACACTCACTACTGCTTTATATTAGCTTGACATGTATGTATGTAGTAATCGAATTTTGTAATTCTGTTTTCACCCACTTCCACACGTCTGAGATATTGCAGTACTATATGAATCGATGACAATACCATAATTTCATGACTATGACCTAGTATCTTCACTATAATAGTCACAGTCTATGATCAAATGCGTGTGCATTTTGTTTATGTATTTTAAGCTGTAATAATATTAAAACAATATCTTCCTGTTAAACTTTTCCCGTCTTATATATCTATAGAGTCTTATTATCTACTAGCTGTGCCCGCGGCGTAGCTCGCGTATACAGGTTTTACATAAACAATTTATCGTTTAGGTAAGAGAATACTAAACGATTTATTTCATTACTGTATCAATAAGTGGTAACTAAATAAATCATTATCATCAAAGTTCTAAGTCGTTTATGATAGAGCTTCTGTGTAAACGACGTGAGAAGTAGGCTTAGCCGGTGTGTACACTAAAAGGTTACGGGGGCTACTAACGCGGGAAAAAGCAACATAGAGTTGGCCATGTGCAAAACAGTCAGTACTGAGGTACACTCCTACAACGCGTAAAGTTTGACCTTGCGCTTTATTTACGGTCATCGCATAACACACGCTCACTGTAACTGGGAACTGAACGCGCTTAAAACTCAAAGGAAAGTTACTTCTTAATAGAGGGTTTTTGGGCAGTGCTGCCAGATAAAAAAAACTAATTCAGCTCTAGGACAACACAAAAAGCGCTAGATTTCATGAAAACAGCGCTTTAAAAAAGCCCTAGATTTCGCGCTAAATTAACGAAAACAAACAAAAAAAAATTAAAGAAAACAACATTAAGTTTTTTTTCTGGCAATATTTTTTTGATGTATCAATACTTCGCAGGACATCGACTTATAATTATGGCAATTGCTGTCAACAGTAGTTAGTACTGTACGAACAATAAAAATGTCATTAATTGTTTTAAAGTGCAATGTATTTCGCAACTTAGTTTCAGATGTCAGCATCTGATTGCGGTTGCTACACAGTTTCTTTGTGTTATAACTTCTAAGTAACTTTTAACTTAGCTGTGCTCTAAGCAACTGACTGAAACTGAATAAAGCAAAATAAATGCGTTGCTAAAACCATGAACAAAAACTTTAATAAAGGGGTTTCCCCGCTTATAGTCGTCGGTAAAAAAATCAAGTTGATCATCCTAAAGGGGAAGCCAGGAGATCCATAGCACAGGGTATCCTAGTTTGGACTCGTCTCCCATGCTCTTTGTTTTGTGGAAAAAATATGTTTGAAAAAGATAAACTGCAATGTACTATTTGTGGGAAAAAATAATAAAGGTCATTATTATTATTATCGGTAATGTGGACTAACAGTGCTGCTATAAAAGAGTTAATAACCCGCTAGTCGCTAAAATATTGAAATGTGTGCTAAATACACCAAAAAGCGCTGGATTAAGCTAGGGCTAAAATTTCGAAATGCGCGCTATACATTCCAAAAAAGCGCTAAATCTAGTTCCCAAAGCGCTAAAGTGGCAGTACTGATTTTGCGTATATTATAAATACAATATCACGACATTTCGTTGAAAAATCTCATCACAGCAATTCAGAAAAGTTTGTAATTTGTACAACTCCATCTATTACGTCCTTTGTGTGAGAAAACATCCTTTTTAAATCTCTTTTTGTGTTTTAAGTATAAATATATTAATTATTATGGAACGTTTTTTTTACACACAAATCTTTTTATTACTATTTCTGAGATTTTATGGCGCCATTGAACAAATTCGAACCTACATTTCAAAATAATAATCATTACTTTCGATAGAATTAACCAATTTTAATAAAACAAAGATTAAATGTAACTCGAAGATACGCTTTATGATTTTCTTAACGATTTCTTTGAAAATAAAAGATGTTTACTTTAGACGTGATGCGTTCATATAATAACAGACAAATAGACAGACAGACAATTCTAAAAATTCTAAAATGTTCTTATTTAATTATTTTCAGTTCCCCATAATGATTTTAGCCACCAAAATATATACCTATACAATGTACAGAAAGAGACACAATATGTTATCATCATTTTTATTATATGTATATATTTGAAGAGAGATGGCGCTGCTAACATCAATTCTAAAAATAAAAGAGATTAATTGACGCGATTGATACATTATATAAAACGCAAGAGTACTTATAAATCAGTGCCTGCACAGTAAGCAAAAAATAAAGTTTGACTCTCGCCAAAACCAACGATTTGTTAATAGCTCTTTTAAAATTTGATTTACCACATAGAGTACTCGGCGGTAAAGAATAAATTGAGTTTATCAACACGCAGTAGGGCAGCGAGTAATATAATAAAGATTAGCAGTAAATATGAAAACTCATCTACAAGAAAAAAAAAACATTGCAATTGCATTACATTTTCACAACACTACCATCTATCGAAGAAATGGGAAAACTATTGTGCTTCAGATTTAGTTAATAAGGTTAATATATTTTTGTATAATATATTTAATACGTTTTTTAATACTTTTGTTTACTGCGTTTTAGATATACATAATTATATCATTATTTTACATAATTTAACTATGATTTATGATATGATATTAGTTTAAAATGCACCTGATGACTCAAACAAAGCCACCGTTGAGCAAATTCGTACCTATACTTCCCTACCCATACTTCAGAATATTTATCATAACTTTTGATGGAATGAACTGATTTTAATGAAATAAAGACTAAATGTAACCCGAAGATACACTTTATAATTTCCTTAACAATTCTTATGATATAAATTAGTACTTTATACGTGATACGTTAACAAACAAACAGACAGACAGACAGACAGACAGACAGACAGAAAATTCTAAAAATGGTAGAAATGTATTTAATTACTTATTTTTAGTACCCCTCAATCACTTTTATTACAAAAATATAAAATGTACAGACATCTGCTATTTACAGTTTTATTATATGTATAGATAGATATATAGAGGTCCATTGAGTTATATGTACTACGTACTAGATAAGCCATTCCGAACATTGACTATGTTCAACTGAACTGTAGTGCAATCCATACGAACTAAATATTGCGTAAATTGAAGATTTGTGAATTCCATAAAATAATAATTATTACATTTTATTTAGAAATATGTTTGTTTAGATTAAATTAAGATATTTTATATTAAATTCTTATATTTATTTTATATTAATATCTTATTTTATATTAAATTAAAGTGTTCGCGCATGCGCGACTACTACTCCCGCGCATGCGCGAAGACATAGAGTAGGACACAATTTTTGTTTGGAATGGTTTCTCTAGAAAACATGGTTTATTTATAGATAGTCTCGGGCTTAAACTATGTTTCAAGAAGAGTCCTCGTCAAGGCAGTCAAAGAAGTTCCGAAGCTGCGGCGTTACAGTCTTCGCGAAATTGATGTTTGCTGTCTAATTTTATACCTTACGTGTAACGTGTATGATAATTTGTCCAATCTTTACATGCGTAAAGCAAAAATATTTTACTACCGATCAGTAAAAAAATTCAGCGTGGGAGGATAAAAATTCCCTCAAGTTGTCAGTATATAGTAATAATCACTTATGCGCGCATTATACCTAAGAAAATAAATATCGTTTAAATAATTAAAAAATTTAACACATTGTGATGTGGTGGCGTTTGAAAATCGATCAACTTATTTTGTTTCGTAGTTATGTATTTTCTTCCAATAAATACTGCAATCTACCTGTAAATTCTCCCAAGTCGAGACCCCTATCCAAAAGTGAACTTTTAGTCCTTATGGCAGTATGCTGGAGGATCTCAGCATTAAACATCTGTAGTGCCCGTTGGAGGCAGATCCCAGCCATGATTTGGTCACTCCCGTAAAATTTCACGCCATCAGCAGGAGTGCTACCATACCAGGAGTCCCTGCTAAGGTAAAGTCCAAGCATATAGGCAGAATTGGCAAGAACCTAGTTTGCCTTCTTTCGGGAAGACGTGCTTTCTGGTCTTTCGCTAAAACTGTCCAAGGGAACTTCTGTCAGTCATCTCTTTCATCTCTGTATAGCAATGATGACTTACTGGCCCATGCCGCTAAGAAGAAAGCCGATCTGTTAGGCTCTCTTTTTGCAACGAATTCGACTCTCCATGACGATAGGAATACACTGCCGACTATACCGCGGCGTGAGTGCTCCATGCCGGATGTGCCGCTTATATAGAGCTTCATGCGCAAAGCACTCCTCTCACTGGACGTCAGTAAATCGAGTAAGCCTGATGGGTCCCTCCTATTGTGCTGAAGACGTGTGCTCCAGAGTTGGTTCCGGTTCTAACGCATCTTTTCCGGCACTTCTACTCCCTAGACGTAGTCCCGAACTCAGAAGAAGAAAGAAGACAGCTTTAATCCACCCGATCCCTCAAAAAGGCGACCACTCCAAATTCAAGCCTTTCGTCATTATCTTCTTGTACTCCAAATTAATGGAATCTGTTATAAACGGTCAGCTTATGAGGTACCACCAGCTGATTAGTGACCGCTAACACGGTTTCCGTCTGGATGGCTTAGCTGGTGATCTTCTAGCTTACCTGACTTATAGATGGGTGGAGGCATTCGATCGCGTTTGGCACAAAGCGCTACTTTCGAAGTTTCCTTCTAATGTGCTTTCTTCTACGCTGTTTCTTCTGAATATCAATTATATGTTGCAAACCAGTAACATTCCGGTACGGCCGGTGTAAAGAGCATCTCCAGTGCAGTCACATGCGGACGACTGCACTGGTGATGCTTTTTACACCGGTCGTGCCAATATTTCTCGGGAACGTGTCATCGAGGACTGGAACAAACTTGTGTCTGAAGTCGAGTTTTTGTTATACAAAGTCTCGGATTGGATACGACTATATCTAGCCCAGTTTAACCCTCAGACGACACACGTTTGAAAGAACCGTAAATCGTAAATCTGAAAAGAACCCCTTTGACGTATCTGCTCAATTTCACAGCACTTCGATTGTTGTCTCAGCTAGCATCGAAATCCTCGGCGTCGAAATATAGTATAACGTACAGTTTTACGATCAATTGGAAGGCAAGGTTACATTGGCCTCTAAAAAGCTTGGCGTGCTCAGCAGAGTGGGACAGTATTTTATAC